AATTATCACTTTGCCTTTGCTTCACAGTGTTATCAGTAAGTGTCGCCTGTAACAAGGCTTCCTGTCATTTGAACTGCAAACTACACTCCGCAAACTGAAACTGTCAGTTCTTCCCTGACATCAAGCAACCTTTATACATTAATTAAGTGACATGTGTCAAATCACTTTAGCTTGCAATTTGTCTCGGACCATTGCTACCAGTAATGACAGTGTTATGTATGTGCTATGCACTGACATGTATGTCATTCTGCAGCTTAAATTATGTTGCTTGCAAGTCAGAGGGAAATGATGGTCAGTGGGGACAGAATAGGTGTCTGCGTCTCATAACGGTTTGTTTTGTTATTTGTCTTTCCGGATAAACCAGACTATTGCTCTCATATTATTATTTGCCAACCTAAGTTTTGTGTGGGACTATACCTAAGTACGCATAAGTAATTGTCTCCTATGTATAAGAGCATACAAGGTTAAATCCTTCCCAGTGACAAAACTCTCATTAAAGTGACCTCACACAGGCCACATTTAATATTTCTTTGTACATTATTTTAATTTACATCAAACCAAAACTTCTAACTGAGCACAATAAATTAAGTTGGAAGTATTATGCATTCAGTATGAAGTCAAACGGAACATAAAAGTTGCCTAAAGACAGAGACACTCACAAGTATTGAACACAGGATTCCTCCACCAAAGCATATGACAAACCATTTCAGCCTGGTACTGTAGCTGAGAGAGCTGGCATCAAGGACCTGGTGAGAACAATGGGAGGATGTCACAAGACAAACCTAATGACGTGTAGAAAAGAATAACAGGCTTCCTACTGACGATTTAACCATGTTGGCTAGAACCAAGCACAAAACATCCACCACAGTATTATCTTAAAACACAAATACACACAGCACTCGTAAAACTTAAAAGTCACAGACTATTACTCAGTACACATAACTCAGGCAAAGGAACCAATAATACCAAACTGCAAAGGAAAATCTTCTAAGTGCAGAACTGCAAGCATGGGAGACTCTGGTGTGCCAGAGTGAAACTTTAACTTTGCATCAAGTTAAAAAGAAACGTTACCATAATGTAATATGAAAACACATGGTTCAAGTCAGCACCTTACCTCATTTCCTCCTCATCGTGTACGCGTGTAAAATGTATAAATAAACAAACAAATACAATTTATTTAAATTCTGACAGAAGAAAATGATAGCCAGCTTTAAACGGGACTGAAAGGACAGAAAACCAACATGACAACGAAACAGTTTGGTAAGCTAACGTTACAGTCTACTGAAGGCTAAGTTACAGAGCTAAACTAGCATAACTGACATTTTTACTAACGTTAGCCACAAATAAAACCACATTAACATTATTAGGAGGCATCTGAACCGAAACTTTGTGTCCCAGATAGGAAACGAAACTAGCACAGTGGTTTCTTATTCAATTTGATCATTTAAACAACGTTAGCATTAGCACCGTACAAGTTAACAATTACTGTCATACAGTATGTTAGCTACCTGTGCAGTGAGACCCAACTCTTCATTTTCCTCTTGGCCGCTTAACACACGACGAAGCTTGTCCATCACTAGGGGCTAAAGCTAGCTGGCAAAGTACTCAAAAATAAGGGAGAAGTTCAGAATTTCTATAGGTCCAACTGTCTGCTGTCTTAAGTTTTTTACGCAGTAGTGACAAGTTTGACTTCCTGCCTTCCTGTACGATGCGCTCTGTAACGTTAAGTGCTGACTTTGAATCAGTTTGTTCGCTGTCGCTGGCCCTAATCGCTGGGAAAGCTTTTCAACAACCGATCGCAGATCCGCTTGTGGAGGCAACTTGACCGACACCACTTCCTCTGAACTGTTGCTGCCTTTTAGTGCTGTCGGAAATAATGGCATTACAAAATAAACTGAGTGCGTGAAATTATGCGCTCTCTTCGGACAATATGAAAAAGTTGATGGTATTTTCGTCTTATTGGTTGCTGGTGCCTTACGATATGTAATTTAAAGAAGTGAGTTGAAAAGAAAACAGTTATTAAAACAAAACAGATAGACATTCGTTGATTTAAAGAATAAGCCTATAGCTATTCTACACTAAATATGTTAAAGCTTAAAAAGGCAAATAAGTAGAACAACTTGTATCAGTGGCCTTTAAAAGATTAGTGTTGATGCTTGTTTTAGCATATTTACTTGTTCCACATGCATACCTAACTATTTTCAGACATACCTCCAAATAAAATATGACCACAGTTTTATGCTCCCTGCTGTTGCTTTTCTGTTGTTTTGTCGCCATCCAGTGGAGATACTTATAACCATAATTCAGTTGGTACTTACAATATAGTAGGCTTCTTAGATAAGTCTTCCTGACGTGACCATGCTTGGTAATGTTTTCTAGCTTTCTTGTGTGTTTTGACTGAATTCCATGCATAACTTTAGCATTAGCTAGCCCATACAAAATATAGTGGATGTTACTGGACAATTATTTTAATTCGTTTTTTGTGGTTTGTAGTATTTTGAGTACTTTATTATTAATTAATTAATAAATAAAACATTTTTCACAACCGTGGATCATCAGAAATGTTGATATGATAAAGTGTGTATAAACGTGGATTTTTTTTTTTTTCATCAATCCTGTAGGCCTAAGTGCCATGTTTTCAACTTAAGGATGAACTATTGTCTTTCAGCATGACATGTGATAAAACATTTCATGTGTCAAGGCTACATAACTTTGCCTTGCCTTTATCAAGCAGATAACTGGCGCCAAAGGAGATACAGTTATGTGAGGCGTTTGACTTGGGGTCACACTGTCCTCTGGAGGGACAAAGTCATTGACTTGGCTGTTTGTGTTTAACCAACTGAAGCTCAGAATGCCATCAATGAAGTAAACATGAACAGTAGAGCTGTACTTGATGGAATAGACAACAGGTTTATTAACCTAGCTTCCCATAGTCTTAGCTGAGTTACCACAAGCTATCTGGAAATGTGAGGCGATGTACTCAATATTAACAATTATAGACTTATATCCGTTGTGTGTTCTATTGCTAAACTATACTATTGAAAAACGTATTTATAAACAACTTTCGCACTACCTCAGTATCAACAATGTCTTATCACCATTTCAGTCTGGCTTCAGCCTTCAGGTCTAACCACTCCACAATTCCTGCCCTTCTTAAATTCACCAGTGATGTGATCTCTGCTGCAGACAGTGAACCCACAGCAACTGTAAAACGTACACACTTAATTAATAGCCATCTCTAAATGTAAGAAGACATATTCACTGGCTTCAACTTATATTTAAATGTACTGTATGTTTAAAGCCCCAGCAGTTTGGAATAATGTACCTGTTGTCTTACAGTTGGTGATCCACTCACACTCTACTGTTTCTCTTTAGCCATGCTGGCCACCTTGTGGTTGTAATGTTCTCAGTGTTTTAATTAATTAATGTGCATTTTTTTCTGTTGCCTGTCTGGACATTGCTGTACTGACAAGTTTATTTCTATTTCTTATTTATTTTGTCACTCTTCTGTTGGTATGTAGTGATTGTGATATATGTTAGGAGCCCCTCGAAAATGAAATGGTCTAAAGGGATTTATCGCAATAAATACATTTGACCACACAATTTTTATGCCAACAGAATTATTCATTTTAATTGTAAAATACACAAAAACTTATAGACAAAAGAGTTAGCAAACATAATCAAAGGAAAGGGTGTTACTGAAAACACAACAAATACAAATTGTTCTGACAATCCTCTTCAGCTAAGGAGGATGCTGCTGCATTTGGAAATCATAAATTATATCAGCCTTAAAAGGTCTGTTGTGATTTGCAGACATAAACAACTATCTCAGACATACAGTAGCCTAACACTAAGCTATTAAGCATCATCTTACAGCTGGTGTATTCACAGAAAATGTGAAACAATAACTGTAAATATATAAGCTAAATGGAAAACTTCCATATGCAGACACAACAGAGATAATCCTTCTAACTCTTATAATGAATATGCATATTAAACATCTTGGAGTCTGCAGTCACCTTATCGGTCACCTTTGGAGCTGTTCATAATGGTAAGGTTTATTGTAGACATTGTCCTTGAGTTAGAATACCTTCATAATAACCAATGCTTATGAAAAGTGGAAACTAAAATCAAAATATTTAAGTTGTCGAGGAAAACATTAACAGCCTTGGTGTTTCAAGAGATTATAGCAAAACTAAAATCATACTGAAATGCCACCATGCATGGACTAGCAAATATCATAATACCCTTGGATGTTGTAAACATTTAAATCTCAAGCAGCCAACAGAGGAGAATTTGCAGGATATTTACTGCCACACAGAAGTTCAGCTCCATGGTTTTCTGTGTTGTGGCCACATGTCCAAGTGTCCTTGGGCAAGACACTGAACCCCAAATTGCTCTTTTTACTTTGGATAAAGTGCTTTATAATTGCATCCATTTACATTTAGTGGCTGGATGGTCTCTCACTTTACAAGAGGATGGGGGACTGGGGCATTATTCTGCTTTCACTCACCTTAAGATCACTCAAGTTTTAGCCATAGGTGTCATTTACACTGGGGACGCTGGGGATGTGTCCCTACCATATTTTGAAATGGCTGATTTTGTCCCCATCACTTTTTGAAAGCATTTGTTAAAATGTTCTGAAAAATAGCTTGCACCAAGAAATATTAACTAACAAAGAAAATGCTTTGAGAAAGCTTTACTTGCACAATAAGAAAACAAGCAATGCAATTTAACTATATAAGAAACAAACGTGCATTGTCCAAAAAAATTGCTGCTGAATTTAATATTATAACATTTAATATTATTATTATATTATATTATTATACATTATTATAATTTACATCAAAACTCTTTTGACTCTTTGCAACACAAGAGCCCCTTGATTAGAAGTTGAGTATCAGGTGGCAGAGATGGATGACGATCTGCTGCTGCAGCAAAGAAGACTTTAAGGGAGGGACGTACATACGCAGCGTTCAGCGGACATCCCGGCTTCTGTGTGTTCAGACACTTTTCAGACAGCACAATAATGTGGACATCGCTGTTGTTCCTATCTGTTTTGTCTTTCTATGGATGCAAAATGTGCGCTTCAGGTTTTATCTGCCCGAGGATCTGCCGCTGTTTCTCCAACACAATCAGATGCAACAATGTGACACAAGGGTCAGCCCTGATGATGGACCACAGAGATAAAAGACTGTAAGTTCACACTATTTTCGAATGTGGAAAAGACCGCGCGGTGGTGCGTGCATGTTAAGTTTACTGCGACCGCAGAATCTTGACTGATAACCGATCCTATGCATTTTGACACTGTCATTCTAACAGATATATTTCATGTATGTTTTCATGCAACTTACTCCTCTGAAGCCAAGGCTATTCCGTGCGTATTTACGCACTGAGCGAAGATACACCTGATGAAACGCCTTTGATCACTCCCAGTTATTAGTACAATTAGCCATTATGGTTAACAGAAATCTTTTCAGATGAGGTCTGTGGCGCATCTCTGTTTGGAGTTTCTATACATTAAAACATTTAGGAAGCCCTCATACTAAATGTAGTCCAACCTGCAACGTGTTTCTACCAACACTCTGGGGAAGTACTCCAACTAATTCCACCTAGTGTTTAGACATGATTTGTTTCTGTCATGTTCTGGTTTAGTTTTTTTCCAAACCACAGACATGAACACGCTTTCTTTTTTATCACTTCAACATCAGTGGTGCTAGACAAATGCTCATCTGTCAATGTAAATGCATTGGCCTTCTATATAGACTACTAGACCCAGTTGTGTTATAGTTTTCTTTCATGAAAAATGTTTTGCTAGTGTAGTAACTGCTAGCTTTGTACTTACTTTTCACTTCTGTACCTGTACATCTTGTTGTAAATTCTCAATAATTTGAATAACATAAAATAAAAATATGGAAAGACCTATATTGCAAACTTCAGGACACCAGCTTCTGAGTGACATTTATATTTCCAATTTCATGGTTTACCTCATTAAGCAAAACACTCTATTGTTGGAAAACAGATGATGCTGCATGTGTGCAACTTAATTAACCTGTGAAGAAAATGTCAAGTTGATCTCACACGGTCAAGTACGCAGTGCATCCTCTCAGTATTTAGGATTTCCTGGCATCAGAGCTCAGTGTTGGAGTTCACCAGACTGTCACAAGCCTTGAAGGTAGAATCTTGACCTCTCCTCTGATAAATCACAGAGCCTTGAGTATCCCCTGATAAGTATCCACAAACACCAAGGCCATCAAAGGACACCAGCACCCCTACACACACACACACACACACACACACACACGCACACACACACACACACACACACACACACATTACTTTGTGTTTTCTGGAGGCCGAAAGTTAACCTGGAATCATGGCATGCCCTCCAAAAAAATCCCTATTCTAATCCTGCAGTATAAAAACAACCTTTTTTGTCATGGTGCTTTAAGATCACTTACTTTAGATGACTTTGATCATCAGATGTTGTGAATGTGCCTCTCCATATTGTTTTTTTCAGGTTTCTCTATCACTTGACTTTGCACACAATTTCAAGCCATTCTTTTGAGGGTTTGAAAGGAGTCCAGAGGATGTAGGTATCAATTTTCATCCCCCTGTTTGACATTTTGTCACATAGCTGAAATGAAAGTTAATAAGGAGCAAATGGAAAATGGATGCTTTACCACTGAAATGAGTAAGAATAGTGCTCTGCGTATTATCATGTTGCTTTGTTTCTGCTCTGTACTCAGTGAGATTGCTCAGAGCGTAACCCTGGAAACTATTGAGACATTAGCTTTTAATAACCTTCCCAACCTCTCTGAAATGTAAGCCTTTATGATTATTTAAATCAGTAAATAAAAAGTAATGGTTACGGCTGTGGCGTTTCGACTGATGTTTTATATCACTTTGCAGCTCAATCCAGAACACAAGGAGTCTGATGCACATTGGCAGGAGGACTTTTAACAACCTTCCCAAACTACATTACTTGTAAGAGACCTCAAAACACACAAATCTAAATTATGTAGTTTAAAATGTAAAGGTGCATATTGGACAGAACCCTGTCTGTTTTCTGATTCCATACATCTATAACAAAATCAAATCAAACTAAACTAACTTATGTTGCACACTAGAAATAACTTTTTAGCTCTATTACTTTAAATATGGCGAAGAAGTGATTCATTTACATTTGGTTTACATTACAAAACATGTCATTAAATGACATAAGTTTTCCTTTGCATTTACAGGAGCATTTCAAACACTGTGATAACAGTTTTTCCTGACATCACATCAATCCATTCTCTCGAATCAGAGTTTATCTTGTAAGTATACCGGTTGCTAATGTTTTAGAGACTAATGACCAATTAAAACAAGAAGCACATCACCATAAACATATCATTTTACTGTGAACTGTCGTGCTTTTGCAGGGATATCTGTGACAGCCCGTATCTACTGGAAATACCTCCAAATGCTTTTATTGGAATGACAAAAGAATACGTAACAATGTAAGTGATGCAAGACATTCCTTTAAATTGCTTTACACTGGTCAGTGAGTTGGAAATAAATGTTAGTCAGCGAGATAGTGATTTTGCAGCTTCAATCATAACAGTTTTGTGAATGATTGCAGGAACCTGTACAACAACGGCATCAGAGAAATACACAACCATGCCTTCAATGGGACAAAGATAGATAAGCTGTATTTTCCTCACATTTCCTTTTTCTAACTGAATGATGAAAGTTTCTTACAGTATAAACATTTTGCTCCATTATTCTGTAATTTTATAATTCTAGGGTATTAAAGAATAATCGAAACCTCAGAGTGATCCACAGAGATGCGTTCAAAGGAGCCACAGGCCCCGGAGTCTTGTAAGTGGCATTTTTAACTCACTGAATGAAAAATGTATTTGCTTAGAATTAGAAGAGGAAGATGCTTGTCAAACTGACTTGTCTATGTCTTCATAGATTCATAGCTTGAATTATGCGTTGAGACTTGAGTGATGGTAAAGAAGTTAATGCCTTAAGCCTTTAATAGCTTTTCTTTCCATCAATGAAAGAAGTTACCTCTGATGTATTTCTAAGATGTAAAATACACTAATATAGCAGCAGATTATCTTTTACTGCTGACATACTGAAGGCTTAGCAGAAGACATGGTGATTTTAAATTAACTTAATGCTGTAAGGCAGTGTACAATCAGCACAATGGTTACAAAGAGGTCTTTACACCCCCATGCAGTCATACTGTTGTCTGTGTTATTTCACAGGGACGTGTCTGCGACAGCTCTCAAAAAGTTACCACCGCAGGGACTGGAATCAGTTCTGGTGTTGTTTGCTCAGTCAGCATATGCCTTGAAGAGTCTGCCTCCTCTGCAGGGACTGTGGAGCCTACGAGAGGCCCATCTCACCTACAACAGCCACTGTTGTGCACTGCTGAGCTGGAACACCCACAGGTGACTTACACGGTGCATTGTACTGGTCTATCAAAGATCCATTTGTTTATGGATTTCCTCAGTAAGATCCACCCCACTTGCTGTTCCAGTTTTCACTCACTATACTCCAGTAGTTAAGCACATCAAAAGCAGAATCTTATTCAGAGAACTAAGTTACTTGCTTATTACAGTACAAAACAAACAATATTGTACCACAACAGAAGCACAATGTCTAATAAGCATAATATACAATATACTGTAAGTAGTATTTCTCAGATGTGTTTGTGTGTCTGATGTGCGTCAAACAAGTGCGTCAAACAAGTGACATTCAAGTAATGGTGGTGATGTATTTTCTTTACATGATTTCCTTCCTTTTATCCAGGGACTTTACCAGAAACCCTGCATGGAATAATGGCTCTACATACTGTGATGAGAGTGACCCATCAGCAAGGTAACAAACTGTCATGTTTTCCTGCTTATGTAATTGTTAAACTCTGTGCTCTGTAGTTAAGGAAAGTTTTTTTAGCAACACCCAAACTACCCATATTTGATTTTAAATGACACCCCAAAATATCGGCCAAGTGCAATGACTTACAAGGAAGATTTTTCTGCTGGAAATACTATTACTTGCTACTTTTCTTGGCAACTCCTTATTTTGAATTTAATTTGGGTTTAAGATGAAATAACCAGAATAATTTCCTCTCCCCTTTTCTTCTCATTTAAAAACAGGGTTCAGCATGAGATTGCAGGTTCAGCAGATACAACTCTAGTTATGGATATGCCATTTTTTTCAGACGCTGATTTGTTTGTGGAGGATAAAGGCTTTGGAGATGTGAATTTTCACTATCCCGAACTGGACTTGTGTCAGATCCGGCCAACATTGGTTTGTACACCTGAAGCAGATGCTTTCAATCCCTGTGAGGACATTGCAGGTTTCAGTTTTCTCAGAGTGGCCATTTGGTTCATCAACATACTGGCCATCACAGGCAACCTGACAGTGCTCCTGGTCTCCTTAACCAGCCGGGACAAGCTGACGGTGCCTCGCTTCCTCATGTGCCACCTGGCTTTTGCAGATCTCTGCATTGGGATCTACCTTCTGATGATAGCTGCAGTAGACTTGCACACACAAGGACACTACAGTCAACATGCTATTGAATGGCAGACAGGGCCTGGCTGTTGTGCTGCAGGCTTCCTGTCTGTGTTTGGGGGGGAGCTGTCAGTCTACACCCTTTCCACCATCACCCTGGAGCGCTGGCACACCATCACCAACGCTCTGCAGATAGAGCGTCGTCTGGTACTGACACAGGCAGCAACTATAATGGCAGCTGGTTGGCTCATCTGTCTGGGGATGGGGGTGCTGCCCCTGGTTGGTGTGAGCAGTTACGCTAAAGTCAGCATGTGCTTACCCATGGACATACAGACTCCTCTGGCTCAAGCCTTCATCATAATTATCCTGCTGTTCAATGTGGGGGCCTTCGTAGTTGTGTGCGTTTGCTATGTGCTGATCTATCTGGCTGTAAATAACCCCGAGCTCCCCAGAAGAAGTGCTGACACCAAGATTGCAAAGCGCATGGCTGTGCTCATCTTCACAGATTTCCTCTGCATGGCACCCATCTCCTTCTTTGCCATCTCTGCTGCTTTTAAGGTTCCCCTCATCACTGTCACCAACTCCAAGATTCTGCTGGTGCTCTTCTTCCCAATCAATTCCTGTGCCAATCCCTTCCTCTACGCTATCTTCACCAAGGCTTTCAGAAAGGACGCGTATCAGCTCATGAGTGCCATGGGCTGCTGTAAAAACAAGGCCAGCGTTTATCGCATGAAGGCCTCATGCTGCGAAAATGCAATCAGCTTGGGGTCCAATAAAAAAGGATCCTGCACTGGGGTGAGGCTGACTGCCATACCACGTCAGAGCCATCACCCAAAAGAGGAGGGGGAGCTCACCTTAGACAAACCCTTTAAGACTGTTGAAGTGACAACTGGACAATAAGAGAAACTGAGGAAAAACAACGTATCCTGAATTTGGAGGAAAATATTTACTTGTTGGCATCTGTCATGTTGACATTGATGACACAATTTAACTATTTCATTCTGTGCTGTTGGAGATGCTCTTATTGTTTTATTAAAAAGTATTTAGTGAACTCCATTGACTAAAAAAAAGACTCACTGCATATCACTGCAACCCACTAAATAGGCTTTTTTCACAGGAGATATGTTGACTGGTCATAATAGGAAAAGTGCAAGTATAACTAATATCACTGAAGATGGCTCTGTTCAATATAGTGTCCCATCCCATCTCATACCACTGAGCCCTGGAACTGATAATGGAGCCATCATTAATGGTGTTACTCCCACCTGAAGTTCTCTTGCCACATGTCCAAATTGCTCCAGAACAATTACTAAATGGACCTTGATGAACTGTTTTGTCAACTACTCTCAAGAATGAGAGAATTTCAATATAAGTATTTAATCGGATGAACTAAAGGCCTTAAGTGCTCAAAAAAAAAAAAGAAAAGAAAAAGAAATTTGACAATTCTGGGCACAGTTCATCTACTGATTGTGTGATGCGATTGAAAGCTCCAAAACAGCCACTAAATGGACCTTGTGCTGAGATTGTTGAAGAGAAATCTTCTCCGTGTGAGCTGTTTATTCATGTAAAATAAGTTGTGTTTTTCTGAGGATGGCTAAATGTATACATTAAGAATATAGGCCACAGCCATAGTTAATATGGAAAGCTTAATTGTTATAGTTGACCACGTGGTGGAGTAGTTGGGAAGGCAACTTACTATACACGACTGGGATTTTTGTTTAGAATCTAAGGTTTTTTGACATTGTGTTAGCCAAATTATAAATTAAAGGGATCACTTAGGCCTACAGTGTTAGTATATATATTGCTAGGCTACTTATTATATCACAGTAATAATAACAAGGTAATGCCTGTGTTGTAATCTTTTTCTGTCTCAAAAAAGGACAATAAGAAAAATATTTAAAAGTAAAAAATAATGTAAACTTTAATCAAATTCCAAGAGTTTTGCTGAATGCCTGCAGCTCCGTTTATCTGTTGTTCTTCTGCTGAATTTTTGGTTCCAGTAGGATTTTTCGGTGCATTTTGTCACTCGTCCCGCCTTCATGGGATCCCTCCTGTGACGTCGGGAAAAGTAAACTTTTTTTTCACCCTCCAGCTGAATCTGCTCTTGGGTCAACAAGTATCCACTCAAGCAGCGTTGAAGCCACTCTAGCGGGTGATGTTGCTTATTGTCGGGAGGTCCGGGCCCGCGCAGTCTGCTTAGAATAAAAACGGACTTTTTCAGACTGCTGCGAGACAGAAAGCAGCAGCAGTGAAGAGCTCAGATTTTGTCATGGCAAAGAAGTCAACTCCAGGCTGGTTTGGAGTTATTCTCTCTACAGCAGCGACCATAGCATTTATTGCGGCAAGTCTGGTCAGCGGTGAGTTGTTTATTTTCATGGAGGATGACTAACTCACTGTCCTTCAAAGTGGGATCTCAGACTTAACTAAATCAAATGCAGCGGTTTCCAGGGAGCAGTTCTTCTCTGCATGATAGGTTGCAGCTGGACGAGATTTAAATAGGCCTACTATAAGTAGGCCTGCGCATTTAAATAGCTAACACATTACAAAACGGCACACAAAATTGTGAGTAGTTATGGAACGAGGGGGGAACGAGACAGGAGCGACCTGATAATTAATAAACTGTTGATAAGTAGTTCCTGAATACCTCAGAGTGAAACACTGTAGCCTATAGATGGTAATGGACTAGAGGACAGACTGAGAGATAGGCCTACTTATATTAATCAGTCATTAATGATTAGTTCATAATCTGTGAATCGACACGCTGACCACTGTCTGAGATATTCAGGAACTACTTATTAACAAGTATTTAATCATCAGGTCGTTCCTTAGAAGCTACTCACAATTATGAGTACAGTATTGTAAAGTGTTACCACATTGCAAAGTTCTTAATATATCTAAAAATAAGTGAAAATAATGATTTGACGTTTTTGAATTGAATTGATTTGAAAATAATTTGAAAAATGTTCAGTGGATTCGTTGGTTAATGTTTCAAATGCCAGAAATTTTTTCTGTTTCATGTCATTTTGATTAGAACATTAATGAGTTTAGAGCTGTTGGTTGGGTGTTGAATAAGTGTGATGGGCATTTTTCACTAGTTTCTGACATTTTATAATGATTATCGATAGTGAAACTAAATGTCACACACCCATGCTCTTTGAATGCTTCTTTATGGTGGTTTTGTGAACATTGTGGATGTAAACACATGCCTAGTTCTGTCACTTTGGGTGTCAAATCTTTTATAAATGATCTAAAAGACTCTTGCAGGAATATTTGCTTTAAAGCTCAACATGATTAAACATGTTCTTTTGTGTGAAGCTCAAACCATATATTTCATTTAGGATGCTGCTGATGTTACACACAGTCAGTATGACGGAACCTAACATCTCCCTCTGTAAACAGCTCAGCACTCTAGGAAATTGTTGCACCGTCCTACCAGGACCTCTGAGCCCCATCTGATAGCGGGTCGCGTTTCAAGGGTTTATCTGAGCCCGGATCAGCTCAAACAGCTGAACTTTAAGCCCACCGTAGGAACCATCCTGCTCTCAGAGGGCCATGAGGCTAAATTCAACTGCTCCATCAACATTCCCGATGCCAGGCTGGAGCCCACCATTATCTGGGTGAGGAACGGCCAGGAACTGGCAGGAAACATGCAGGTTGTGATCAATGAGCTCCAGACCATCACGGACGGGATCATAACTCTCCTCTCCACTGTCAGGTATGTAACGTATGGAGGTGAAAAGCTGTGTGACAGGCAGATTACACAGTCTGACATGTGTCCTCATGTACTGTGTTACAGCATTAACCATGTGCAGCGAGCAGACGCTGGGGAATATCGCTGCAGACTGAGCATCGGCCTCAAAACGGTTGAGTCTCAGCCAATCATCATAGAGGTGGAAGGTGAGTTTCAACCTGATGCCACAACTGGGTACTTCTTGGGGCGTCTGCATTTTTCGTGACACTTTCACACATCTTGGTCTGGTCTGTAGGCCTACCGACATTTATCCATCAACCAGAGGACAGGAACATAACAAGAAACACACCTTTCACGCTGTCTTGTGAGGCGGTAGGACCTCCGGATCCTGTTGAAATCCAGTGGCTCCGCGATGGAGTACCTGACAGTGACCGTCATAACTCTCCCAGCAGCTACTCTGTGTCAGGTGAGACACCAACCACACAGTTCAGTTTTCTTTATCTCTCTTACACAGAATATGGGTTTCACAACGTGATCTACTTAAACACGCTATGTTCCTTCTCTGCTGTTCCTGTTGAGGAGGTGAAAGAGAAGTGTCAATGAATGCTGAGAATATGACTCAGCATAAGTCTGAATGTCATCTCAAATCAGGCAGAAAGAAGCTGAAGATGTGCTTTGTGGTGTATCACGCTACCAAGATAGTGTCATTCATGAACACACAGACTTTGTTCCTTTTTAGTTCCCTTAAATGTGTTAGAGGACTTGAAGAAGTAATTTCCTCTGTTAGAAAGACTTTCCTTGATGAATTTAAAAGTAGGCCGCTCCTTAAAAGTCTGTTTCATCTGTGTCAACTCTGCTTTTTAATCAAGCTCTATTTGTGGGTTTGTCTATGTGTTTTCCCGAATTAACAAAGTAAAGAGATCTTCTTTTTTTTAATAGAAGAACTTCTGGCTTGTATAAAAATTGTAAAAGTAGTACACTAGTAGTAACACACAAGCTACAGCTCATTAAACTTATGAATTTGTTTCACTTTGGTTAACGTCCTCCTGTGATGGAATGTGGAAACATTTGTCAGCAGAGTTAAAGGGACATTTGGCTCTCTGATGATGGTGACAAAGTGTGGAGCGGATCTTACACAGCTAGCATCACTTTGTTGGTGGTTTCTATTCTGCCTCGTCTCTGCTGCCTCAGCATCTGTAGTCTGCTTACTGCAATGAGATTTATCCCCACCATCAGTGTCACAGGGTCCACTGGGGCCTCCTGTTGCACTGCTTAATGGTTTACAGCGGTCATTCACGCATGGTCTTTGTGTAACACCGCTCTGCTAGCTGTACACTAAAGACAATGCGACACGTGGGAATAGAAACAGTAGATTCTGATTGACATTTTGGGAAATGCACTTATACAATTTCTTTGTCAAGAGTTAGATGAGAAGATTGGTCCCATGTCTGTATGTCAAGTATGTCTGTATGAGCCAGCAGTTAACCTAGCATAAACATTGGAGACTGGGGAAACAGATAGCCTGCTGTCCAAAAGTAACAAAATTTGGACCATTTGTCAGGTCCAACCAAGCCAGGAAAACCCAAGGAAGGTACTGGTCATGGTCATGAAGTAGTCTGTCACGTAACCACCCATGAAATGCATTGGATTATGCAAATAACATGTTAGTGAGCTTTAAAGTTGCTGGTAAGTGGATTTTGTTACCTTTGAACACAGCTAGCCATTTCCTCTTGTTTCCAGGCTTTATGCTGAGCTGTTAGTTGATACCTTATGTCTAACAGAAGGATAAGAGAGTGGTAACATTCCCCTTTGGCAAGAAAGCAAATAAGTGTGTTTACCAATATTTCAAAGTGTCGCATTAGGGCTGCAACTACTTATTTTCATGGTGAAAAAATGCCCATTACAATTTCTCAAAGCCCACGGTTTAAAATTCAAATTTCTTGCTTTGCCCAACCATCGGTCCAAAACCCAAATGTATTTAAGTTTAATAACACAGAAGAATAGAAAAACAAATATTCAAATTTCAGAAGCTGAAACCAGTGAATCTTTGGCATTTTTGAAAAAGAAAATTCTTAATTGATTATCAAAATTGTTGCAGATTAATTAACAACCGGGTAATTTTCAGTCGAGTAATCGATTAATCAAGTAACCATTTCAACACAACATCAAAGTAAATGTGTTTATTTTTCAGTAAGAAGAGTGGAATTTCCGTGTTGTACTACTACTACTAAGATTAACATGGACTTTTTTAAACATTATGTAGCATTAAATTTAGAAAAACTAGACCAATTGCTGCCAAAATGTCTTTTCAACGTGGACTCTCCCTTTATGGCCTCAGCTGCCTACTTGAAAGCAAACAT